ACAATAAATAGCGAGCACAAACCAAATTTACATATGGAACAGATTTAACTGACAAAATACTCTCGAGCTATACTCTTTTGAACTTTGAATTCACTATACATTTCCCCAAGAACGTCTTTGGCTCCACAGCAGAACGAGGCCACTTTGGCCAAACGAGCGAGTGATTCTCTTATGAGGAATGGCATTTACATACATACCTCTCAATTCCTATTTATTTACATGTCCGACACCTAAACTTGACTTTTTTTACATTTATAACACACAAATATTTTGTATCACATAAAAACTACAACTATATTAACTTTTCAGTAGTGAAATACACTTTTTTATGCATGGGCAAGATGGTATCAATGTAAAAATTGAAGTTTGGGTGTTAGGTATGTTGATACATAGGAATTAAGTGTTGTAAATCTTCCTTGAAATTATTGTGGCTGTTTTCTGAAGAAGGGTTTCTGGCAAATAAGAAGCCTCTCATCTTTGTTAGCTTCTATCTCTACCATGCGTGCTTCCCATCTCATCTGTGTTATCACTGATCTGAGCAATTCAACAAGTGGTGCTGAGTCATGAACTATGACCCAGCCCTGCATCAGAAAAAAAGATGTGGTTATAATGCTCTAATAAATAATTTCAAACATCAATAGCGAACTTATACATCCCCCTCCCCATCCCAATCACACTAATAATAATAAGAAGGAAAATTTTCATACATACCACAAGGTTCTTATGCATTTACATATCTAACACATGAAGTATGATATTTACATTTATAACATCTTGGTATTAAAAACCAATGCACTAAAATATGTGTTTCACTTTTAAAAAGTCAGGGACAATGATATTTTTTATGTGATGGCAGATCTTTGAGTTTTATATATGTAAATATGAGAGTCTAGGTGTTTGGTATGTAAATATATAAGAATTGTGCGGTATATATGTAAAAGCCCCTAATAATAATAAATTTAAAAAAAATCAACAGGCTAATGGCAGCAGATAAAACGTAGTTTTAATATTGAATCTGGGAAGCACTATAGATAATAAGCTCAAGCAATGATATTGTTTGGAGTAAAGTGCCAAAATAGTTTCAATTATTTACATTCGGTCGTTTTAGTCTCAAAGTTCGTAGAAATGTGAAAAAAATCCTCAAGACTCTTTAAAATTAAGCTCTAATAGTGTACCGTGCGACTATTTGAGCCTCAATTTAAAGAATTTGTGAACTAGTTTAACACTTCTATAAACTTTGGGACTAAAATGGTCTTACGTAAATTTATGGGGACTATTTTGGCACTTTGCTGATATTGTTTTTACCTCTGGCCGTAATATTCGATCGACCTCCAAGAATATATCAGGAATGGAACACCTGTGTTGTTGATGAGTTGACAACAACCCTTTAGCAAGCACAGCATCGTAAGTTCTTGGATATGTTGGAAATGCATCGCACCTAATCAAAGTACAAGAGCCATACATATTAAAATTTCAGTTTTATAATTTGAGATTTTATTAAATTAGGTAAATTAGGTTAACCATAGCCATGAAGCTCCCCCCAAATAAAATGAAAAATAATTACTTTGTCTGGGTAAAAACTAGCATCCATGTCATTGTTTTGAACTATTAAAGCCATGAATTTAAATGGGATAATTTGATAAAAGTGATCTAAAATGGGAGAAAAGTTCATAAGGAAATCATGATGTATGTAAATCTTCCAAAGAAAAAAACACAAAAAATACTAAAAACTGATGAATAAATGGACAAAAGGGCATACCAATCATGTTGAACACCAATGAATCCTCTATCAAGAATAAGTGGGAGGTAGTTATAACTCGTGGTTGGTACAACATTCATCACCCAAACAGATTTTCCAGATTCCAACAAAGCAGCATTGAAGCCACCAAATTGGGAATTCATGTCCAGCACATTTCTAAGCATATTAAAAGGTGGAGAAGGGTCCTCATCCCCTGGTCTCTTTGGATGATCAGAAAATACAAGAGGCGATAGAAGAGACCAATAGTTATGGATTGCTGCATTCCAGTATAAGGAATCATCCACAAAGTCCTCCTGATGCACACCTGGAGAAGCACTACATAAATTCCCGTAATTGAGAAAGAGAAAACTGTCAAAATAGTCCTCCTTTACAAGGGGACATTTTAATCCTAGAGTTTATAGAAGTATCAATTTAGTCCCCAAACCCATTTGAACTCGGCCCCAATTTAAAGAGTTCGGGGATTAATTTGGCACTTTTATAAACTCTGGGACTAAATGACCCCCATATAAATAGTCAGGGGACTACTTTGGCACTTTACTCGATCGAAAAACGAGAATATTTAGTTAAATTACCGGGTCATAATGCATACCATGAATGCTAAGTTCAGCTGAGTTCAAATTAGCCTGAGAAGGCCAAGGTGTTCGGTTTTCAATTGGGATCCAACGTTGGCTTCTTAATCCTCCAACACAAGGATAAAGTTGTTGATAGTAGGGAGATTCTATATCTTGACTCTTACCACATACTGGAGGACCAGCTTTTCTATAAAACAAGCATAGTACAATATATAAAAAAAAAAAACAGGTTAACAAGAGCATAGTACAAAAGGTTATAGTTATAGAATACATACCGAGACCTGTAGCATTTCTTTTTGCTCGTCTTTTTCCAAATGATGGTTTCTTCTTGCTGTGAAAGCATTTCCCAGCAGAGGTTCTGAGCAAAATCACGAATAAGGGTCCATTTTTTATGATTATTCTTATCACGGAGAGATCTGTTGGAATTCCTAACTGAAGTCCAGACAAAGTATCCTCCAGGCCTTAAGAGTCTATCAACTTCCACCAGGAAGATGCCATCTGTTTTAAATGTTAATTATTGGTTTAGGAGATTGAATTGGTAAGTTTTGCATTGAGACAAACAATTCTGATGAGGAAGTAATAAATATAACTGGGGAAAAAAGTTTTCATTTTTCAGTGGATTGCTGATTAAAAAGATGAACTTCAATAATGATTAACAAATTGATAGCAGTGTTCTTAAGAGTATTTATACATTATAGTGTCACAAATGTTCTCTGGCCTTGGTCTCCATCCCTAATTTTCAACAGTTATTTCTAAAAATCATCAAGAAAAAAATAAGATACTCTAGTTCCAATGCACTCAGAATTTTAATTAGAAGTGATTCTCTGTGAAATATTTGAAGTGCAAAAATGCATCAATACACTTTTGACTTATCCTTTAGAAAGTCTATACAGTGAGAATTGAAAGATCATCATCGAAAATGACAGTTTTGATCCTCACGAAAGAGATATTTGGAGTAAGACTTACAAATATCATCATGCACCAATTCAAGAGGTCTATTAGACTCATAGTTGAAAATAGAAAAGCATAAAGTAGTCTGTTTACAATAAATAGAAAGTTCACAAACTTTTTTATAAGAAATAAATAACTCTATTAAGCTTCTTGTTAAACATTCATCCAGCTTCAATCTGCAGATCCAATTCTGTCGTTTCTTTTGCTATAGTTTATTTTTTGTTTTTCCGAGTTTAACTGTCATTTTGTAAGTTTTAGTCATATTTTGATATATTGTTAGAGTATATCACTCGCTTCGTCAATGTCATTCATTTTTCAATGCACGCAGCTTCTACAAACAGAACATAGACCTCAACTCTTAATCCATGTAAGCAATAGACATAAAAAAGATAAAGTTATAAACTTGCAGCTGGAAGAAAGTGATTGCAAAAAGTAAATAAAGAGAAAATATTCCTCTTCTATTCCTTGAATTGAATCAGTGTTCATACTAACATTGATACCCTTTCTGCCTTTTACACCATTAGAATGGAAATATAAAAGAGTTGATATTATGGTTCATAGGACAATAAATATTTTATAAATTCCATAAATTAAATTAGTTGGAGAAAAGACTAGGGAGATTGATAACTTAGGTTTTAAACTTTGGTATGCAGGTAAGAGTCACACTGGAAATCATGTAGGTGTAATCATGGATAAGAGTTTGAAGGATAATATTGTAAAATTAATAGAATTGAAGATAGAAGTATAATCCTAAAGATTGTTGTTGATACTAAGATATTTAATGTTATAAGCATTTATACTCCTCAAGTAGGTTTAGATATAGGTTCAAAAGAAAAATTCGGAAATGATTTACAAGAATTAATACAAATGATACCTCTTGAAAAAAAAAAATTTATGGAGGAGATCTACATGGACATGTTGGTAGAGCGGTGGAAGATATTAGAAATATTCATGGTGGTTACTATTTAGAGTGATTAATGAAGAAGATAGAACCGTATTAGATCTTGCTTTAGCGTATAATTTTGTTCTTACTAAAACTTTATTTTAAAAAAAAAGATAACCATAGTATTACTTAAGAGAATGGATCTAATAAAACACAATTTGACTATTTTCTTATGAGAAAAAGGGATTGTCGAGAGTGTAATAATTGTAAGATAATTCAAAGTGAAAATTTAAGTACTCAACATCGATTAATAGTTTTGGATTTTAAGATAAAAAATACAAGAAAATATTGTCATAGAATTTGATGAGGGCGCACTAAAAGACACAAATAAAATTAATTTTATGAGTAAACTGCAAGATTTTAACATTTGGGATGCTCATGAAGAAGCGAATTCAATGTCGGATAAAATAACAAAAACTATTAAACAAGTGAAAAAAGATGTAATAGGAGAATAAAAAAAATTATAAATAAAAATAGTTTGTGGTGAAATAATAATGTGAAAGAAAATATAAAATATAAGAAGTTGTGTTATAAAAATTGGTTTAAATGTAAAAGCATAAAGAACTAGAAAAAATATAAGGTGGCTCATAGGGAGTCTAAGAAAACAATTTATGGTGCTAAAAATTGTACTTTTAGTGATCTCTATAATAGATTAAATACTAAAGATGGTGAAAAATAAATGTATAAAGTAGTCAAACAAAGAGAAAAGAAAAGTAAAATGTATTAAAGATTTTCTTAAAGAAGATATTCTGCATAGGTGAGTGAGCTATTTTAATAAATTTTTCAATGAAGTTTCTAAAAATACGATTAACCTTAGTGGTCTTAATATCTTAATTACAAATAAAACGTTTTATTTTACCATCGCATTAGTAAAAAAAAGTTTAGACATTAAAGAAAATCAAGGACGAAAAATCAGTAGGACTTGAAGATATCGCAATTGAAGTATGGAAATATTTAAGAGATTTGAAAGTTTCTTGGCTTATTAAACTCTTTAATAATATTTTAAAAACTAAAAAGATGTCTGAGGAATGGATGAAGATTATGTAATCAAATAGTTGTATGATATCAAGGTTCATTTTATGATGAGCATTGATTAATGCTTGTGATAATTATAGAGGAATTAAGTGAATGTGTCGTACTTTAAAATTATGGGAGATGGTAATTGAATATAGGTTAAGAAATGATACAAGGATTTCTCATAATCAGTTTGGATTTATGTTGGACAGGTCTATTATGGAAGCTATACATTTATTGAGAGGTTTGATGGAAAAATACAGAGAATAAGGAGAATCTCTACATATGATTTTTATTGATTTAGAAATAAACTTACAATAAGATCCCAAGAGAAGTCCTATGGAGAGTTACAAAGAAGAAAGGTGTTGATATGACTTAAATTCAAGTCATTAAAGATATGTATATTAGAGTTGTTACTTGTGTTTGAACAGAAGGAGGATTGACCAAATATTTTCCTATTTGAGTTGGATTACATTAGGGATCGACTTAAGCTCTTATCCTTTTGCTTTAGTTGTGGATGCTCTTATTGGACATTTACAGTAGAATATATCTTTGTGTATGTTTTTCATTGATGATATCCTTATTGTGGATAAAACTACATAAATATTTCAGGAAAATCCTGAATTATGGAGGTCTACATTTGAGTTTATGTCCTTCGAGTGAGTAGATCTAAAATTAAATACATGGAATGTAATTTTAGTAGTAGCTCTAGTGGCAGAGTTGTAGCTATGAGTGATCAAAACATTAAAAGATGTGATCATTTTAAATATCCCGGGTTTATTGTTCAAAATGATGGTGATATTGATGGGGATGTTATTAATAGAATTCAAGTTGGTTGGTCGAAGTGGAGGAATGCATCCGGCCTATTGTGTGATAGAAAAGTACCGCTTACACTTTAAGGAAAATTTTACAAGATGGTGGTGAGACTTGTAATGCTCTATGACGCAAAATAATGGACTTTAAAAGAGAAGCACAAAACAAAGTTGAACTATGTTGAGTGTTTTTGAGATGAGAATGTTTAGGTAGATGAGTGGCTTGACACTTAGGGACAAAATGTGAAATGAATATATCTATGATAGGGTTGGTGTAGCTCCAATGGCGGATAAGATTAGAAAAAGTCATCTTCGATGGTTTGGTCACTTTAAACATCGACCATCTGTTGATCTTGATAGTAGAATGCACGATCTCCTTCGCTAAGTCGTATGAGTAAAGTGTCAAAATAGTTCTCTGACTATTTTCATGGATTGTTTTCATCCCAACATAAAAAAGTATCAAATTAGTCCCTACACTATTTTAATATTGGCTGAAATAAACCCCAATGAGTACTATTTTATCACCATGAAAAGATTTTAGGGACTAAATTGACATATTAATAGAATATTGGACTAAAATAACCCACTACAAAAAATTAGGGCACCATTTTGACATTTTTATCTAAATTGTATGGGATTTACAATGTTATTAAAATGTGATGGAACCGGATAAAAAGAAACTTAAGTTAAAATAAATAAATTTCTATGAAAATATACAAACCATTATTCTCCCAGTCAATCCCACATCTTGCACAATGTACCATATCAAAAGAGAGATGTGGATATGGCAATTGTTTTGAAGAAAATGAACCAATCATAGCAGGCAGACCCCTTTCAAGTGTAATTTGTACTTGACTTCCAGAAGCCTCATAGTTCGCAATACACATAGTAAGAACTTGTTTTGAGAAAAGATGTGCCCCAAAGCTACCAAAGCCACAGCCTATATCCAAGACTGTCCTGACCTGTAACATAGCAAAGAAGGCCAATACACTCATAATTAGAATTGACATATTACAATAGGGCAAAAATGTCAAAAAGTATTGCTGCTTAGGCCTCATTGATTGCTTATACATAGAAAAATTATTTTATAAAGCAAGAATTTATTTCGCTCATTTCATGTGTGGCAAAGAAATCATTGCATTTGAGAGAATTTTGAGAGTTTGTTGAGTTTAAAGCAAATGTAGATTTTTAACTACATGCAGCCATATTATGAATTTAAGTAATTTACTTTTTCTCAAAAACTTATTTTTTAAATTCAAGCAGGCAAATAAAAGATACATTAAAAAAGATGAAGTTATAATCTCATAAATTATAAAGAAAAAAAAAAGACTTGAATGCAGATATCAATCATGAATCTTATAACCTGCCATTCTTAATTCAACTGAATCTACTCAAACTATTCAAAAAATATAACGTTTTTCACTCAAGAATAGAGATCAAACAAAATAACTAATTAGACAAATTTCTCCTATGCTTTGGTTCAATTTTACATGTGAAGTTCATCACAAGTTTCAGAATAACAGATGACCAAATGATATTTTTGAAATTATTTTAAATGCGAAAAGAACATTTTAATTCATTTTTTACATTTCTTAGAACATCTTAACTGTATTATGATGCAAAAATTTTATCATATATACCTTATAACAAGTACCAAAATTATCAGTGGATCTTTGCTTAAGAGTTCATCTGTAAAGTTTGGCTTTATGGATGAAAACAGTGTTGTGAACCTTTAAGCCAAAATATTCAGATCGTGAAAGGCGGATAAAATAATATACAATATATAAGAAAGAATAGGGAAAGCCAGTCTCAATTTTGAAAAACTCTTGAATTATTGATTTAGAAAAAGGTCATATCCACCTTCTTCTTGTTATATTCTTCAAGCTGATACAACCCAACTATGTCTGAATCATTCAATAAGATTCTTAAAAGGTGAAATACTCAGCTGATGTTCCAATAGCACTAGTATCATAGTACAAACACAAAAACAAGTAATTTTCTTAAACAAGGATAGCACTAACCCCTGCCTCATTGAAATTTGACTCATTCCTCAGACCAATCATCTCAGCTATCTGATGGGAATAGTCTTCCACACCATCTACCATTAAAGAATCAGAGTGAAAAGAGATATGCTCTTCCTCCACCATCATCCTGCAGTATAAAGTTCAATTATTATTATTTTTTTTTTCGTGAAGGGCGTGGGGGCGTGGTGGTGCGGGGAAGGATTAGAACATGGTTGTGCAACACAGAGAAGGAAGGGGAGAAATTAACCTTTTTGTCAAACTTCCTGATGAGAACTCGTGCCCTGAAATCTTCACATTCTCTTTCCAAATGAAGTCCCTCCCAATTGGCCACCTCAATGGAATCCTGTAATTCTTTGGTGGCAAAACCAAACAAGTTAGTCCCTTTGCCAATCCCCGCACACACTGTCTTTGATAATCAATCTGATCAGCTTCTCTTGAATCCAAATTCTCTGAAAAATTATAGTAACATGGCACGTAATTTTCATATTCTTGCGGGCAGAATTCAAGCTCTTTGAGCTTGCCAACTCCATGAGAGAGTTCTCCTACCACTGAGAGATCTGCAATAAGCCGATCCCGGAGACGCCTATAACCTCGATAGATGTCGACTTGTGAAGCACTGGAGATGTACGTTATCCAACAAAGTGAGCCACAAAGAGCAGCAAGACTAACTAGTGCAAGACCCAGCTTGAGCAAGTTAAGATTCAAGTGTTGCCGTTTCCCAACCTTTCCAAAAGGGCTAGAAGTTCCACGCAGAGAACCATTTTTAGTGAAATTGTTATGCTTATCAAACGAATCTCCCTCCAAGTTGCAGCCAGAGGGCCTTCCATTACTGCCATAGGGTCCTCGATGGCTTGCCTTCAACATTGAAAGCACAAAAATTCCTAAATATGCACCCCGTAATGTTCCAAATCAGTTTGGGGAGCCCAAGTGTCTTATAATACAAGTTTATATTAACAAGAAAATAAGAAAATGATTCAGGAAATGAGTAGTAATAGAAGAAGGACGCGTTTTCCTGCAAGAAACAGCGCATTGATTGAAAGATACCAGGCCCGCTCGTTTAAAACGGTGAGTGAAGAAAATAAAAAAAAGGGAACTTTTGTCGAAAGAGGATTTCTCCGCTAGCAATCGGATCTGGGCTAGTTATTTTACACTCCTATCATTCAATGGAGCCCATTCTTACCAGGGGAGATCTCAAAAGAAAAGAATGTATAAAATAATCAGAATGCAAATAGCAGGATTTGAGAAGGAGAGATAGGAGTACCAGAAAATTCTCAGAATCATCAGATCAAATCCCTTGAAGCTCTCTCCATTGCCCCCCAACGCATCGCCAGAAAATCTAAAAACCTTTTTTTTCGCTTCTAACAAGGACAGAGATCAAAAGACAGTCTTTTATAAAATTTCTTGGAGTTCTCATCTTACGCTGCAGAAAGTATACTGCGACGAAAACTCAATTATGGTGATTAGAGTATTGCTCCATGGATGATTTCTCCAGCATTGCCCCATCGCCGCTGATCTCCGAAGCCGAATCTATCTATGATAGACAAATAGCTGGGGTGCATAATCACCGTTAAAGCAGATTTCCGAGAAGCTGTGAAAAGGGACGCGGACAGGAATCCGGTAATCTCGTCATGATTTGAGTGGGCCGTGGATTGGCCTTTTCTTACAAAAATTATTCGGCACACCTTATGCAGAGATCCGATCTCCACCTTCCATCACTGGTAGAACCCATTTTTAAATTTAAAGAAAAAAAAAAATTCGGCACACCTTATGCAGAGATCCGATCTCCACCCCACTTTTAAATTTAAAGAAAAAAAAAATTTATCAAACCCGTGATGATGGACAGTGAAAATCAGACACCGCATACATCCCTACATGCGTGTCCGTATGAAATAATTTTCCTTTTCTTAACAAGCTAGTCGATGAATAATCAATTTCACATGAAAATAAGGTTAAGGTTATGCTGATCAAATATCATGTCTTATAGTAAATGATTGGTGATTCACAATCATTCACCTATCTATCAGTTAAATCTATTATATTTATTTATATAGTATTTTAATCTTATTAAAATAAATATAAAATTTAATTTTTAGATATATAAATATATAAGAATTTAGTGATATGTATGTAAACCCTTCAAAATAATAATATTTAAGGACATATTCAACACAAATATACTAAAATATTTATGTGAAAAATAAATAATATTTAAATTATCGTTGATTGAAATTTCTATTTAAACATTTTTAAATTTAATCTATTATTTAATTTATATAAAAATACTAACATATTTATTATCTGAAATTGCAGCCTAACAAAAGCTATATATCATACATCATTATTGTTGTGCCTGATAAATTTGTGTTAGTAAAGTGATATATTAAGGTATTAGTGTTGTACAAAGATCCTACATAGAAGTAAAATCTAAAAGAGCAAATAATAGGAGTTATGTGGAAAATCCTAAAGGGCAAAAACCACGGGGCTTAGCTCAGATGAAATGATTTCACCATGTGTAGATAGGGATTGCTAAACTTTATCGGCCCTTGACAAGACGTTAGCAGCATTACACAAGTTGGGGCTATCGATATGACTTCCACATGAAGTGGCATAATATGTTAGGAAATTGGTTGCATCCTGACAGAAGTGATTTGATGGCAACGAAGGTGGTGATCTGACAGCGACAATGACTAGATAATGATGCTCTGGAAGTGACGATGATAGTGGTTGGGCGGTTGTGGTTCGATGGTGGTAGCTAGTTAATAGTGGTCCGAAGGCGATGGTGGTGGCTAGCTAATAGTGGTCTGGCGACAACGATAACCAGACGACAATGGTCTGGTGGAGTTCATGGTCGGATGACAGTGATGATGGTGGTAGCCAAGCAACGGAGTTCGGGCGATGATAGTGGTTTGATAGTGACGATGGTGGTGGTCAAGTAACAATGGTCTGAAGGCAGCGATGTCCCGACAACGACGACGGTGGTAGCAAGACATTTGTGGTCCGACGACAGCCATGGCGGTTCAGTGGTGGAGCTTGCTTGATGGTGGTGATGGCTAGGTAACAGTGGTCCTGCTACAATGATGACCAGATGATGGTGGTCTAGTAGCGGTGGTGGGAGCTACTAGACGGTAGCGATTTGGGAGCGTTGGAGCTCAGAAACCCTCAAGAGCTTAGAGCTTCTTCAGCTTTCTCTTCCAAATCCATATCCCCTTTTGATGAAGAGAGTGGAAGTTTATTTATAGATTTTGTGTGGTATATTAAATAAGTGGCATAATATATTAGGGCAGTGGTTGCATACTGACAGTGGTTATTCAGTGGTGGCATCAACTAGATAGTGAAGGTCCGGCGGCGATGAAAATGGTGGTTAGACAACAGTAGTTGTTGGTGATGGTAGTTAGATGATAGTGTTCTAACAGAGGCGACAGTGGTGATCGCACAATTTTGGTCTGATAGTGGCAATTGCTAGACAACAATAGTTCAGTGGTGGCGGAGGCCAAATGACTGTGGTGATGATAGTGGTTGGGCAATGCTGGCAAGGCAACGACGGTGATCTGATAGTAAGGATGGTGATGGTCATGTAATGGTGTTATGACTGTAGCATTGGCACGACAGTCGCGACAGCGGTAGCAAAATGGCAATAGTTTGGCAATGCAACAGTGTTTTGATTGTGGAGGCTGCTTAATCGTAGTGGTGGCCAAGTAACGATGTTTCGACGGTGGCAATGGCTAAATGTCGGTGTTCCGGTAGAAAACCCAAAAGGGAAAAAATTACAGGCTCTGGCTTAGTCAAAACGATCCACTATAAATTGATAAGTACATATGCATGCCCTTGTTTTGCAGGCGGGAAATAGTTACACACTTTCTTGAAGCATAATTGTTGTATCCATAGTGATTCATTGTTCAACGGTATGGATCAGCTATATTTTGGAGTAATGTACAAGTGGGGAGTGATTGCAGTGGGGAGTAGGTATTATGACTTTGTTGCATCATCTTTGAGGTGTGTCATTGCATGGTGTTCAGGATGATGTACTTCTTTGAAAGACATCTCATTACTCTGTGATGTTGGTCTTTACTTCGTGACATTGGTCTTTACTTCGCTCGGTGTTTCATTACTTTATAACATATGTTGTAACTCCACGAGAGGCTTCATTGCAATGAGCAAGGGTAGTTGATAGTGATCGATGGTGGCCAACAAACAATGTTCAATGACAGTTGGTGACTGAGGGAGAGGGAAGCATCGTTGGGTCTTCTTAAGATAATAACACAGAAATTCATATCATTCTTTGAGAACCAACTCTAAATTCAACTTGTCCTCCAGTCCAAATTCTAGCTCTCCTTTCATGAAGAGGGTAGATCTTTATTTATGGTATGAGAGTGATTCCTCTGCAAACAAGGAAGGAATCTTAATCACTGCATTAGACAACCTAGAAAGATTCCCACGAACATACATTGTTTTGTGGACATTTAAGTGCCTTCATAATGTTAGAATTGAGTGATATTGGGTTTGTTGGATTTGTCTCTCCGACATGCTCGATTTGAGTTAAGGCTTGACATAATTAAAATCTATTTGACCTTTGATATACCTCAAAATTACATGTTTTAAATATACATTTAATGCTCATTTAATGCACATTTTTTATGAGATTGCGCTTTAATGAAATGTATTTTACCTGTTTTTTATTTCAGATATAGGAAATTGAGTTTAAAGGAAAAGAATAGAAAATGTATGCAAAACGATGCCGTAGAGCGGTGGCGCCTAAGCACCAGAGACGGACAAAAACTGGCGCCTAGGCTCCAGTGACGGTTTTTTTTGGTGATGCATTGGATTTGGACGAATTTTGAAAGGATGCTTGATGTGCCTCTTGGGGATTTCAAGATTCTTATATAATATGGTCATAAAAGAGTTTAAAAAGGACTCTCATAGAGGAAACCCTTAGATTATTTGGAGAGTCCACTAGATTGGAGTGTAGAATAGAGTCTTAGTGTTATTTTCTTTTAAGAAGGGTTTGAAGATTGCTTCAAGGGAACTTCAGGATTTTTGTGGAGAAGCCTAAGATAAGTATTTTATATTTTTGTTTAATTTATACTTTCTTGTGTAAACTTGATCTTAAATACAAATCTATGTGTTTTTGTGTTATTTCCATAAATCTCGAGTAATTTTCTTTCTTTTCTCCTTAATATGAGAATTAATCATGTGAAATAAGAATGATTTGAAGATTTGTTTTTATTTTAAATTTTGTGATGGTATTTTCATTGGTTCTTCATTGACTTTGCAAACTGGCCACTTCTGAGGTTAAAATCTGTTGCGAAATATAATGACCCGGGAGAGCTATGATTTCACCTAATTTGTGAGTACCACGTTAACCTTTAAGATGGGAGGCCGACTCAATTCGTTGGTTAGCACAAATAGATAGGGGGATAAGTTTTGATGGGTGTAAAATTGATATTTCTAGAGTGACAGACTAGATTCTTTAGTCAATTTGAACTTGGGTTTGGAACTTGAGCCCATGGTAGACCCTATAGAGAGGGCATAGTTGGTAATCTAGAGGTAAGAGGCCAGAATCTACCCGACACTACTATACAATCAGGGAACAAAATTAATGTTAGCCAATGTTCTTTACATGAAAGAAGATAAAAAATATGCATGCTAGTATTTGTCACAATACAATATTTTATATTTCTAAATAATCAAATCCTACATTGATTATGATCTTTTTGCAAGGGGAAAGATCTTTTCCATATCATTTGAACTCTTTTTAACATCGTTAAGTTAGAAAATTTGCACTTACTTTTTGCTTAGAATTAAATATTGCACATACTTAGTTTTAAACTTTTCAAAGTATTTCAACATTTTTCTCCTAGTAATTGTGTTTGCAGTTTTATTAGAATTTTTTTAAGTCACTTTCGAAAATTACAACTTTCTTGTGGGATCGATACTGAGATTTTATAAAAAAACTATATATTACTTGAAACGATACATATACTTGAGTAGTACCCATGGTGTGAAAGCTTATTCCTTATTCCTAAATTATTTTTATTTTTTCATACTAGCCACTAAAATATAAATTAAGTTTGACAATCTATTGGAATATAAAATATCTGCATAATTGCAGGTTGGGTCAACCTTCTAATTATCTACCCAAAGCTGTCAAAAGTGATTTAACAACTTGATCCAGGTTTGATTTGACTTGGACTAGGGTCAATTTTGGTGTCATTGAGTTTGTTTCATTGGGCCAGTCAATTTGATTATAAGTTTGTCAAATTCGAAGTTTTGGATTGTTTTTAATATATGTTTGAATATTTCTTGCTAAAAAAATGTTCTGATATTTGTGTTAATCCCTTGAGACTTGTGTTAAATGACAAAACTTGACATCAAGTTTTCTGGGTTTCCAAGCATTTGATTTGATTTATTTCATATTTATTATGGCTTGCAAAAATCATTCAAATCTAGAAAATAATATAAGTAAAATCCAACAAATAGTAAAACTATAAAAAAACTATCACAAGTGATATTTGATATGATTGATCCAATATCGAGTTCTAAGACAATGGATTTACGAAAAAACGATGCTTAATAAGTGGATCATTTTCTATCATCGAATGCCATTGATTGGTGATCACTATACGGGTTTGTTTGGGGCAGCTGCAACTTATTTGCTGATTCAAAATAATTTGCTG